GGGGCACGTGGAGAGCGAAACCGTGGATGGAAGATCCCCATCTCTCTCTCTCTCTCCCTGTCACTCTACCTTTCAAGGAGAAGAAAAATAAACACGTTTTAAAATTGCCAAAGAGAGGACCGGCATTGTGGCACAGCGGGTTAAACTGCCTACCTGCTACACCAGAATCCTATAAATTTTTTATTTAATTTTTTACTTTTATTATTTTTAGAGGAAGATTTTATTTAATAAATATAAATTTCAAAAGTAGAACTTTTGGATTCTAGCAGTGCATCCTGTAAGTTGAAGTGCTGGTTCGAGCCCTAGCTACCTGCTTCCCATCTAATTCCCTCGAACACGCCTCGGAAGGAGGCAGACAAGGGAACAAATATTGGGACCCTGTCACCCATGTCCGAGACCCTAAGAGAGAAGCCTGGCTCCTGGCTTTGGGCTGTCCCATCCTCAATGTGGTGGCCATTAAAAATATATTTATGTATTATTTGAAAGAGTGGCAGAGAGTGTCGCATCCCTCGACCAGCAAGGAAGACACAACCCGAACTCTTCTTCAAGCAGTATATTCAGGAACCTTGAACAAGCTTCTTCTTCCGCCTCCTTGTCTCTCCCATCCCTCTTATAGCCATCAGCACACCAATCAAAAGCAGCCAAGTGGCAAGGATTGATTGGTACAGCAATGCGGAAGCCAGAAGGGAGCTCAGCCATCTCCTTATTAGGAGTTGTTTGTTTCTCGCCAGTCCTTCCGGGAGAAAGGAGCCGGCGCCATCTTTAGGGCGCGGTGCAATGGCTCCCCACAGTTCCCCCTTTTTGTTTTAGAACCAGGCATCTAAGGATTACAGGAGAAGGTAGGGGTCTGTCCCCCACTGCCAGGCATCCACCTGGAACAGCATCCTTTTCGCGGGGGTGGGATCTGGGATGCCAACCCACATGCAGACAGACTTGCCTTCCAGAGAACGTGATGGCTCGTTCCCTCTGCAGTGCTTTGCCTCGCACCCTGCACCCATGCCTAGCATTCAAGGAAGGCCAGCCATGCTTGCGGCGATTGTCCAGCCTCAAGGGCATAAAAGGCTTGAGCTATCATGGCCAATTCCCGCCGATGAGCTGTCCTCATCCTGCACAAACACCACAGGCAAAATAACACAACAAGTAACAGCAACCCCGTCAAAACTCCAAGTCCCGCCCACTCCTTCAGGTTGGAGACAGCTGTGCAGATCCAGGATGACAATCCAGATGCGAAGGAGACATCCACACATGTGGAGTTGATGGTGACCATGGCAAGGCACAGTTGCTTCAAGGTGTAGTCAAATTCTGCGGACCAATTCTGCAAGAGCATCTGAGACAACTGTTTAGAGTAATTTGCTGCCTGAGTCATGTTATCGTACTGAACAGAGGTCACACAACCCTGAAAATTTCTACTCACATCCTAGCTGAGCAAGCTGCCAGAGAGTATCCACCTGCTCCTGTACCAAATCCACACGCTGATTAACAATCATCAAGCCTCCCTTTATTTGTGCATTTAAGGATGTCTGAGTATCCAAAGCAGCAGCCACGGAGGCCGTTAAATTATTCAGGGTATTAGCAGTTTGAACTGTCCCTGTGAGCGCTATAGCAGCTGTTGTAGCGCCCACAGCTGCAATGGAAATGGCGGTTATAACGGCTGCAGTAACGATCCCAATCAGCAATGTTATAATGAAGATCGAGGGGCTGCTTTGTGACATTGTCTGTTTGCCGCACCAGTCGCTCAGGTAACCATCGAGAATATAGAAACATGTCCACGTCCCCATATTAAAACAGGGTCAGGTCCATACCATTGAGCAGTTAGAGGGTCTTTCCACTTCATAGACTTGTTGTCTTTTGGTTTCAGGATGCCAGTGACGATCAGCTGCAGTTTTCCCTTGATTATCCAGTATTAGGAAATTTAAAATGAAAAGAGCATGTGATAGTCATTTTTGTGGGGAATATGCCATGGTCCCGTATTCCCCCTTTTCTATTTTTTGTAAATAATTTAATGTGGCATGTGCTCGTTCCACAATACCTTGTCCCTGGGGATTATAAGGAATCCCGGTGATGAGAGATGTGGAAGTTAGTACAGAAGTGCTTAAAAGAGTTGGAAGTATACGCTGGGCCATTATTAGTTTTTATCTGTATAGGGGTTCCTAGAACAGCAAAGGCCTGAAGGCAATGAGAGATGTTTGGCAGCCTCGCCGCATTGCGGGGTGGCAAAAACAAAACCTGAACATGTATCTAAAGAGACATGCATGTATTTTAGTTTACCAAATTCAGAAAAATGGGTAACATCCATCTGCCAAAGCTTAAGGTTTGGACATTGAGGTGATGCAAATCATGACCATGGGATGCTTCTTAGACTTTGTCAGTCTTTCTTTAAAGGATCTGGCTTCTGAGCCAGAGACTGGAACAGCTAGAAAGAAACACGTTTATAACTGAAGTTTAGCATCATTTCACATCTTGGCACCACTTTTAATCTAAACAGCCTGATTGGTTATTATCTCTGCAAGATGACAGACATCTCTTTTGACATCTCCAGGGGCCCTCTGGAGATACCAAAAGTCCAGAGAATTTAGAACTTTGATTTTCAGAAAGTCTGTTAAAGGTGCCAAGAGAACTTAGAGTATCTGGTCAAAATAGAATTCCTTAACATTTAGTCAGGGCGATTTTAACACTTTTAGACCAGATCTGATCATAATATTTAACATAACTTTTTAAGACTTAATACTTTTTATCAATCATAACTTAACATACAGTAGTGTTAAAAAGAGACGTTGCAGTTTTTGCAACAACAGATTTTAAGATTTACAATTGAGACCATTTCCAGATAATTACTAACATTAGTACGCATTTTAAAAAATCCCATTGTTATAACAGAAGATCAGACTTCAACTTTAGGTTAGTGTAATTTTGGCATTAACATTTAACTTATAGAAAATTCTGTAAACAATGTTTTAAAATCATAAACTTTTTACAACTTTTCATGACTTGCTCACACCTTCTGAAACTTTATACCTGTAGTTACTTTTACAGTCTTGAATTATCATGTATGGACAACCTATGAGAATACATGCTGGCAAACTTAAAAGTCTCTCTTATCAAATTTAAGATGTTAAAAGTACACATAATACATTTTCCATATTTTACTTAGCACCGATGCCTGGATAACTTAAAACACTGAGCTATTAATGAATACCACACCATTATCTGAATTAAAAGTCAAAATTACATTTCCATGCTTTTAAGTAACATAAGGATAACACCACTTGGGCAGCAACAGTCACTAGTGCATATTTACAACTTTGAAAAGATCTTCATCCTTAAGAGAAACAAGTTTAAAGCATATCAAAGACATGTAAATGTAAAACTGAGCAAGTGAACCAAAGGGCATTTGCATTAACCCAATTTTCTGAACCAATCTGTATTGGCTTACTTGAGTTAACAACATAAAGGCTTGTATACACAGAATTTACTCTCATTTTATAAGACTACTTTAGCTGAAAAGCAAAAACATGAATACAACATAGATTTGACATCATTTACTACATTTTCATACACTTTGTATAATTTGAATTGACTCAAACAGCTGTTACTTTAACAAATTTAGAGTCCCATCCTTTGAGAGTTCCAGGGATCCAACTGGAAGCCCCAAAGTTGAAAGACTCGGTTTAGAATTTAAACTATCAGAGAGTCAAACCATTTTAGTCAAAAATTAGTACGTTTAACCAAGGCTGTGGACTAGATATGATCAAAGTTAGGTAATCACTCAAACATTAGAGATATAATGTGAACAGCTTCATGGTGCAGTTTTTCCAATCAAGACTCATACTGGCAATAGAAAAATGCGAAACCTTCAAGACACATGAAAACTCTCATTAGATAAGTTAGCTACAGCAGCACAGAAAAGAATTGATTATCAGCGTATGAGCCCATTGCTTAAGTTTTTATTAACTGTAAAGAGAAAAACCCATCAAGTTGGAAAGGGTTATCGAATTAAGACTTTTCTCTAGGTCAAGATACCTGTGGAATTTTTCCTCTCTCTTTCTCCTGGCCTGTCGCATCCCCCTTTTTGTTTTAAAAGATATTCTTTCAGTGTGCGGTGTGCTCACTCAATTGTGCCCTGACCCTGAGGATTGTATGGCAATCCATGGACAAGTTGAACCTCCATTTTTTGGCAAAAGGTGGTAAAGGTTTGAGATGTATATCAGTTTTTAACACCTGGGGTCTCCCCCAGGCGGCCCATGCATCCAGACAATGAGCAATCACCTGACGTTAGGGATGCAATTGGGTTAGAAGGTTTAATCGGTCCTGAGGTTTCCAATATCTTTAATACGTTCACCACATATAAGGAATCTGACAACAAGTTAAAGGCAAAAGAGCACTGCTTAAGGACTTCAATAACTATTTTTAATTCCACAACTTGAGGTGGGCCTGGCTGAAACTGATGAAATACCGGGTCATTACCCTCTACCATATAAACCCCACAGCCTGTTTTTGACCCATCCATAAATATATTTGGAGCACCTGGTAATGGCTCAGTGGCTGTAATTTTTGGAAATCCTCATTTGCCGATTCAATTCCCGTACTTGCTTTATACCAGACTCTTTGTTATCGCCACACTCTTCAGACTCACTGCTGCTTTCTGAGCTACTTTCTGCACTAGTACTACTTACTAAGGAGGGGCTGCGCAACTCGGAAAGATCGGGGTACAGTTTTTTCCTAGTTCTTTTCTGACTCTCCTTCAAAGTTTTCCCTTTTTCACTGGCAGCTCTCTCGGAGCGCTCTTCCTGAAGCTCCTCCAAGGCAGCTTGACCGCTCAGAATAGCTTCACTATACCGCTCATCCTCGAGGCATGCTCGCACTAACTTCCATATTGGTCTCACTCCCCTTTTGAGATTACCCTGTTCGAATGCAAAATCCAAATCCCTGCCTAGTTTGTCCCATGAAGGGATAGTAAGGCTTCCCGAAACCCCATACCAAGGTGCAATGGTATCGCAGTTACGTAAAAACCTATGCAATGTACTAGGCTTAAGTTTCAAACCGTTTTCTCAAAGCAGCGCATTCAGCGCCAGAAAAATTGGATGGGACTGTGAATTACCCATCGTCAAAAATTGTACTCTTTCCCTGGCCACGGGTCAGAGCTCCTTCTGCTTTTGTCGCAGAACTTCCTCTGCTTTAGTCACAGAACTATCCTCCCGCTATTGTCGCAGGACTGCCCACTCTTATCGCGGATCCCCACCTTATTTTCCTGGGGGACTTACCAGCGCTGCCCTGACTGCAGGAAGTTCTGAGTTCACGTTTGAGATGGTTCCCCGTACGGGCCACCAGTTGTCGCGTCCCTCGACCAGCAAGGAAGACACAACCCGAACTCTTCTTCAAGCAGTTTATTCAGGAACCTTGAACAAGCTTCTTCTTCCTCCTCCTTCCCTCTCCCATCCCTCTTATAGCCATCAGCACACCAATCAAAAGCAGCCAAGTGGCAAGGATTGATTGGTACAGCAATGCGGAAGCCAGAAGGGAGCTCAGCCATCTCCTTATTAGGAGTTGTTTGTTTCTCGCCAGTCCTTCCGGGAGAAAGGAGCCGGTGCCATCTTTAGGGCGCGGTGCAATGGCTCCCCACAAGAGAGAAAAGAGAAAAAGAGAGAAAGATCTTCCATTCCTGGCCTCACTTTCCAGATGACCACAACGGACAGGCCTGGACCAGGCCAAAGCCAGGATCCAGGAGCTTCATCCGGGTCTCCCACATGGGAGCTGGGGTCCAAGCACTTGGGCCATCCTCTGCCTCTTTCCCAGGCGCATTAGTAGGGAGCTGGGTTGGAAGTGGAGCAGCCGGGACACGAACTGGTGCCCATACACGGGGTGCTGGCATTGCCGCCAGCAGCTTTACCCACAACGCCACAATGCCGGCGCCCTAAATAAATAGTGTTACAAATTCTAGTGTGAACAGATCGACAGGTGGGAGCTTGGTGTTCCACCGCCTTCCGGCTCTGCGCTGGTGCTTCAGTCACTACCTAGGGCAAATGTGGACTCTTGGAAAGGACGGGCGGGCCCTGGGACCCCTTCAGGGCCTCTGTCTTAAGGGTCCTGGGCGTTTCCTGCAGGCATCAAGGGAGAGAATCAGCAGTGAAAGGCAGACAGAGGACAAGGGACAAGGCCAAGCCGAGTGGCTGGGTGAGGTGACAGTTCCGTCAAAGGTTACCTGAAGGCCAAGGAGAAGAGAGGAGACACCTTGGCATTCCCGGCCTGGGTGTACCTGTGCTCCCGGAAGTGCGCCGCCCTACTTCCGGCTCTGGAGGGCGGGACTCCCTTTGCCATTTGGGCTGAGCCCCCAGTCCCAGATGATGAGTCAGCTGGAGGGGAGGGAGTGGGATGCCCTGAGCGACGGGTCAGGAGCCACTGATAAGCGATGCTACTTACTCCAGACCCTCCCTGGCCTCCATGCTTCTGTCTTCTTGGAAGACCTGCTGACTCAGAGGGGTCACAGAACCAGTCCTGGAGACGCCAGACATCAGGACTCGGGGCTTGAGGTGGAGAGATCCACCCTCGCGGGGCCGAAGGAGTCTGACACCCACTCTGAAGTCTCAGACCCGAGGGTGGGGGAGGGCTCCAGGACCTTTCTGCCATGGTGTCTGAGAGTCTGGGGCAGGGCCCAGCCCCACCCTGCCCCAAGGAGCACCTGCACCCCCTCAGCGCCTCAGCTTCCCTCATGCTCCCTGGAATGACGTCTCTTGGGAGGGGGGCAACTTGCAGCCCAAATTACCCTTCTCAGAGACAGAGATGGTTTGAGAAGGGGCTGGCAAGTTGAGGCTGGCTGGCTGGCTAGACTTGCTAATGTACAAGGTAGTCCCCATGATGTGATAGAATCCATAAAGTGGTATATGGTTGTACAGGTGTTTGCCATGCCATTCTTTAAACTTTACTGCCTGCTTGTTCTTCGTTTTTTTTTTCTTTGTTTTTTTTTTTTTTTTCCTTTTTGTATCAAAATATCAGGAAAGAGGGGGAAAATTGTTTTTTTAAAGATTTATTTATTGGGCCGGCGCTGCGGCTCACTAGGCTAATCCTCCGCCTTGCAGCGCCAGCACACTGGGTTCTAGTCCCGGTCGGGGCGCCGGATTCTGTCCCGGTTGCCCCTCTTTCAAGCCAGCTCTCTGCTGTGGCCAGGGAGTGCAGTGGAGGATGGCCCAGGTGCTTGGGCCCTGCACCCGCATGGGAGACCAGGAAAAGCACCTGGCTCCTGGCTCCTGCCATCGGATCAGCGCAGCGCGCCGGCCACGGCAGCCATTGGAGGGTGAACCAACGGCAAAGGAAGACCTTTCTCTCTGTGTCTCTCTCTCACTGTCCACTCTGCCTGTCAAAAAATAAAAAAAAAATATAAAAAAATAAAAAAAAAATAAAGATTTATTTATTTATTTGGAGGTCAGAGTTACACAGACAGAGAAGACGCAGAGAGAGAGAGAGAGAGAGATAAAGAGAGGTCGGTGGGGATTCAGATCTCATCTGGTCTGGGGAAGGGGATGCCTGGATTGAGTGGCAGGGAGTGTTAGTGAAGTGGGCACCTGGGTTGAAGCTATCTTAGGTGCAGAGATGTGTCAGCTGTCAGTTGAAGGACTAGGAACCTGGGACACTCAGGTGACTGGGAAAGGCCAGGCGTGTGTCGGTGGACAAAGAATCGTGACAAAGATCCCATCTGCTGGTTCACTCCCCCACATGGCCGCAATGGCCAGAGCTGGGCCAATCTGAGCCAGGAGCCTGGAGCTTCTTCCAGGTCTCCCAAGGGGGTGTAGAGTCCCAAGTGCTTGGGCCATCTTCCACCGCCTTCCCAGGGCACTAGCAGAGAGCTGGATCGGAAGTGGAGCAGACGGGACTTGAACCGGTGCCCATATGGGATGGCGGCTCCAGGGGCGGAGGACTCACCTACTGCACTCCAGCGGCCAGCTTGTCGGTGTTGGCTCTGATGCTGGGTTCAGGAAATTCAGCCGTCTCCAGGCTGAGGCCTATCCTCCAGTCCTTCTTCAGAAAGTCCCCGTCCTGGCTGTGTCAGGACACAGCGCACACCAAGAGTGAGCGCTGACCTTCTGCTTGGAGGGGAAAAGGAGGGCGTGGCTACAGCCAGACCAAGGGCGGGCCAGTGACAGTCGGACCCTGGAACATCAGGTCTGGAGGATGCACTGCAGGCTGTGGACAGTGCTGTGCACCTTGAGCCTGGGTCTGGCTAGGTGGGAGCTGAAGGGTCAGGCCACCCGGAGGCCAGAGGGAAAGGAGGAACCTCCCCCTCCTTTCTTCTTCCCCCTGCAGCCTCACGATGTGGACCTTCATGCTCCTGGGCCTTCTCTGTGCCTCGGCCTCTGCCAGTGCCAGTAAGTAAGCCGCTGGGACTCTGGTGGCGGGTGGCGGGAAGGGGCCCCTGCTTGGCTGGTGGCCAAGGCTTGCAGGGCCGCCCCTGAGCGGTGGGAACTGGGAGGTCCTTGCCTCCAAGCCCCCCTTTCTTTCCACTGCAGTCCAGGCCAGGTCCTCCTCCTACAGTGGCGAGTATGGAAGGGGAAGAGGGGAGCCATTCTCCCACTCCGGCCTCCAGCTGGAAGGCCCCATCACAGCCATCCGTGTCCGGGTTGACAGCTTCAATATCGCGGGGTAAGGCTCTTCCGCGTTCCTCAAGCTCTTACTAGCTCAGGAAGTGCTCTTTCACTCTGGGCCACCTGTGCCTCAACCAACAGGTCCCTAGTGAGGCAGGATATGGGGATAGCTGTGAGAGGACTCGGCTTCCAGAACCGTACCCTTTGGACTCCTCCCTCCCCGAATATGCCTGGTGGTGGCAAATCATTAATAACCACTAACTCTCAGGGGCCTGGAAGTCGACCAGCCCAGCCCACCCGCCTTCTGCGGTTTAAAGTTTCTTTCCAATATCCCTGCTGGGTGCCCTGCAACTTTGCTCAACGCCTCTCTTGAGCAGTCCCCACTCCATTGCCAGTTGGAAAATTCTATCACGTGCAGAGCCAAAGTGTGTCCGCTGATCCTGGATCTGCCTCCTGGGACAGCATGGACAAGCCTCTTCCCTCTCCCACAAGGGAGCCACTCAGCTGTTAGAAAATCCCTTTGCTTCCACAAGTGCGGGAATGGGGGAGGGGCATCGTAGGAGGCTGGACTCCAAATTCAAGGCCTGCCATGTGCTGTGTGTGGGCGACTCTGGGCAAGCTGCCTTCCTTCTCTGCACCTGCTGTCAGCCAGGCCAGGAGCTGAAGTTCTTTGTGTGGTCCTCCAGGGCTCACCCGGCCTACACTTTTGGGGCAACTAGCAGGGACTGCTCATGCTAGTGTCCAGTTTGGAGGACTCCACGTGCAGGTCAAAAGGTCCTGAACTCTGATGACCTAATCAGTGTCCCCGTTCCTGCCCTCCCACCCGTCCCAGTCTCCAGGTGCGCTATGGCCAGGTGTGGAGCGACTACGTGGGTGGCAAGCTGGGAGACCTGGAGGAGATCTTTCTGCACCCAGGGGAGTCAGTGATCGCGGTGTCTGGGTCATACAGCAACTACCTGAAGACGCTGAACTTTGTGACTGACGAGGGTCGCTTCCTTTCCTTTGGGAAAGACACAGGCATAATGTTGTATGCTGTCCCCTTGGACCCAAACACCGTGCTCTGATTCATCAATGGCCCAGCTGGCTTATTCGTCACCGCCATTGGCCTGCACTGGGACAACTACCCCAGAAACTACCTCAGCGACTGCTGAGCCCGCCTCCTCCGTGGCAGGGCCCCGTGGTGGGGTGTGACAACTCCCTGATCACCATTCCCATACAAATGGCTCAATAAAAGGACATGGCTAAAGCTGGTGTGCATGTGGGTGTGTGCAGGCGGGACCCACTCTTGGAGGGCGGTGTGACTCTCAGCTCTGGCTACCTGCTGCTAAGAGTGGGAGCACGAGGGAGACAGGTGTTGAGAATCCTGGGCTCTTCCGTACGTCGCAAGGAGAGGAGACGCTGGTTTGTGCCAACTCTTTTCGGGGTTAGCTCATGAGAATGTCTGTCCAAACAGGAGTTCTGAAGGGAAGGCTCAGCGGGGGCACACCGCCGAGCCCCAGGTGTGCCTCTCTGGCGCCCTCCCCCCTGAGAAGGGGCTGGCTTCTCTGACCCAAGGCTGCCCCTCTCCCTGGAGCTCAGCTGCAGGTGGGTGGCCTGCACCTCTGTCCTCCCATCTGTCCCAGATGCGATCTCCCTGCTGAAGTTTCGCCCCAGTTTGTGCTTAAGGACTCCACCCCATTCCCCAGGCCAGTTCTTCCTCGTCTTTACCCCTAACCTGGTGCTCTTGCTTAGCCCTCTCGGAACTGGCGCTCAGGCAGATGAGAAGCCCGTGGCTGAGACACACCCATGTCCCGTATTAGAGCGAGTGGGTTTCATTCCTGACTCCACCTTCCTGCTGACGTGGCTCCTGGGAGGCAGCAGGGACGGTTCAGGATGGTTCAAGTGCCACCCACACGGAGCGCCGGTTGAGTTCTCCTCCAGCTTCTGCCCCCACTCCCACCTCTCTAACAAACAGAAAATAAAAACGGAGCCAGCGCCGTGGCTCATAGGCTAATGCTCCGCTTATGGCGCCGGCACACCGAGTTCTAGTCCCGGTTGGGGCGCCGGATTCTGTCCCGGTTGCCCCTCTTCCAGGCCAGCTCTCTGCTGTGGCCAGGGAGTACAATAGAGGATGGCCCAAGACCTTGGGCCCTGCACCCCATGGGAGACCAGGAGAAGTACCTGACTCCTGCCTTCGGATCAGTGTGGTGCGCCGACCGCAGTGCACCGGCCTCGGCTGCAATTGGAGGGTGAACCAATGGCAAAAGAAGACCTTTCTCTCTGTCTCTCTCCCTCACTGTCCACTCTGCCTGTCAAAAAAAAGACAAAAAAAAACCAAAACAAAACAAAACAAACAAACAAACAAAAAGCAGAAACACGGTGCAAAGAGAAGCATCAAGATTACAGAAGTTATTGCGCCAAGGAGAAGAAATAGCCAGGATTTCCATGACCAGATGTCAGGCCACAAATCCCAGCCCTGCTTGGCCTGGTCCTGGAGCTGCTTGGCTTTGTCCAGGAAAAGTACGAATTTGGATTTGTACCTGTCCAGTCTGATTGACCCAGAGACAACATTCTTCCTAGAACATGGCACAGACACCCCCCAGAACAGCACTTAGCATGTCCAATTTCTTTCTTTCTTAACCTTTTGTGACTTCCACACACCCTCTTCAACTTACTTGAAACATGCCATCATTTCCATTCCAGTCTAGAGTAAACTAGCCATCAGGATTCTTACAACCATGTCCTTTCCTTATTTAAAAAGCTCTTTCCTTTTTAACCCTTCTTGCCAAGAACACTCTTTCCTTCTAAACCTTACTTACCAAGCACACATTTTTATCCTTGTGATGTTTTCCATAGAGCCTGGTTGGCTCTTTCTACCTTACCAGAAGTCTGAGGTCTCCATGCAGAGTGAAGGTGCCTGACAAATCCCCTGTGTGATCTAGAGCTCTGGTTAAGGCAATCAGTTTGCTAACTGAGCAAAAGTTCCTGGGGGCAGAGCACGCTTCAGTAACGTGCCATGCCGTAACTGTTGCATACCCGGAGAAGCAGGTCCCATCTGACAAAGCTGCTTCCATCTTGAACCAAACTTCACGTGTGTTAGTCAGGGGGCTGTCTTTTAGGTCCCTTCTGCTGGCATAGATCAAGTCTATAGTCTCAGCAGAGGAGTGGAGGGGACCACTTTCCCCCTGGGTTAGAGTAGAGCAATGCCTTATTTTTACCTGAGGGTTTTTTAGGAGGACCTGATATTTTAGTATTCTGCGATCTGTGAGCCAGTGAGAGCCCTTTTGCTCTAATAGAGAATTTATTTGGTGTGGGGTATAAAGGGCGATGTCTTGTCCCACTGTAATTCTAGATACCTCCTCTATCAGCAAGGCAGCCACTGCCATTGTCTTTAGGCAGTGAGGCTATCCTTGTGCAACCATGTCTAAGGTTTTAGAAAAGTAGCCCACAGGTTGCTTAACAGGTCCCAGATCCTGAGTTAACCCTCCTAAGGTGCCTCCCTGCCTCCCAGTGAAGTACAGCTGGGAGGGTCTCTCTGGGTTTGGCAGTCCTAGCACAGGGCTTTAGTCATAGCATCCTTTAGTTGAGCAAAGGCTGTGGTTTGCTCTTTCCCCCAAAGGAGGGGGCTCTGCTTTGGCTGCCTGTCGAGAGCCTGGTTTAGGAACTGTGCTGTTTTCCTGTATCTGGGAACCTGATAGAGAAAACTGGGACTGCCTGAAGTTTGCAGAAGTAGGAATTTGCTGCATGGCCCATATCCTCTCTGGGGCAGGTTTTCTCTCCCCAGGGGTGAGGATAAGGGTTAAATAATTAACACTCTAATGGACTAGCAATGCTTTGTTTTCCTCTGGATACCTAGTAGCTAGTTTTGCTAGGAAGTTAAACCAATGTACAAGACTAGAGTCTCAGGCTGGGAAAGGAGACAGACTAACAAATCATTTACATTTAACCATCTACATTATGGATTATTGTGCACCCCCCTTAAGAGATAGGCCCTTTAAGTCCTCAGTGAGGACCTGTCCAAATAGGTGCAGGACTATCTGAGTTAGCTGTTACTGAAAGCCCTGTGTTTAGGAACTGGCAGGGAGGGCTTTCTAAGCTTAATGCTATTGGATAGACTTTTAAGGCCTGGCTGGGTGTGTGAGGCCCAGACCTATCCATGGGGTGCTGGAAGAGAATTGCAAGAGATGCAAATCTCCTTTAAGGGAGGCACCCTGTTGACTTGCATTACATGGCTGGACTAGGAGGAGAGCTGAATAGGAGGCTCATAGAAATAGGCAACTTGCATGTCACTGACCCTAGGCCATCTCCTCAATAGCAGTGGCTGGAGCTGGAAGCTGGGCGGAGGCTGGGCAGAGCCAAAGGCTTTTTAGCTCAGGGCCACAGGGTCTGCGGTTCTGAACCAGGAGTCCTTCGACACCCAGGGCAGTTCCGTGTCCAGTGGCCTTGCTCTTGGCAGAGCTGACAGAAGGCATTTGCTGTCATGACACCTGCTTGTCCAATGCCCTGGCTCCTCATATCAGCAACAGGTGCTGTTTGGGGTGCACTGGCCTTGCTGGGTCTCCTTGACGGCAGATCACTGTGTAAAGCAGCCATGGATTGGCCTGTTGCCCATCCTCTGCTGCTTGCTTGCTCCTCGTTCTCCTGGTCTCTAATAAAGTAGACCAAATAGGCAGCCTCTATGATGTCAGTCAAGGGGGTGCTCAACCCAACCCTGATTTTTGAAGATTTCTTTAATATCAGGGTGAGCTAAAAAACTATGGTCATGGGCAAATTCTGACACTTAGTATTTTCCTGCGAGTTAAGACCGCGCCCATGAGGAGAACTATGACCCTTTAGGTAAGATCCACTGTGGTGACCTGCTTGCATACTTTGAGGTCATCAGTGCAACTTCCTATCTATCCCTCAGTTTGGTTTAAAAGGGGAGTTCTGCCCATTTACCGCGTACACCGAAAAATCGATCTAGCTGTCACATCAGTTCATAGTTTAACCTCTTTTTCTGGCTATGCTGTTTGGGGGCCCTATACTGTGGCCAGGCATTATTACAGAAAAGGTCAGTCATCCCTTACGTAAGGTCTGGGGATCAAACCGTACATCACAGTGGAGAGTCCTGCAGAACAGTAGTAACTTCCCTTCTGGAAGAGAAAGAGGAGAAGTGAGGCAGCGAGTCGGGTCTCTAGCCTGACTTCCTGGGCTTTCAGATTTAACTGGCATTTGACCAGTGCTTACTGCATAGCCTGACTTAGAGAGGAGAAATGGTGGCAGAGGTCTCTGCCATCCCTTGGCTTCTGGATATTTACCATGTAGCCAGTGGGCTATGGGCCTGGGTTTCCGGGTTTAACTAGCCTTACCGTGTAGCCCATAAGTTTAGGTTTTGGGCTTCCGGGCTTTCACCGTGTAGCCTGTGGACACTAGAGTTTTTTTGGGCTCCTGGAACCCAGTGCTCTAGCATCTGCCGCATAACCATCTCCTGTCGTCTCTAAGTCTCTTTTGGAACACTTTCTCCCTTTTGGCTAGACCTCCGTTTGATCCACATTTGAACTAGCAATGCCTGGTTGTTCAGCGTTAGCTGGATGGAGACTTTGTCAGTCCCTCTTTAAAGGATCTGGCTTCTGAGCCAGAGACTGGAGCAGCTAGAAAGAAACACGCTTATAACTGAAGTTTAGCATCACTTCACATCTTGGCACCACTTTTAATCTAAACAGCCTGATTGGTTATTATCTCTGCAAGATGAGAGATCTATCTTTTGACATCTCCAGGGGCCCCTCTGGAGATACCACAAGTCCAGAGAATTTAGAACTTTGATTTTCAGAAAGTCTGTTAAAGGTGCCAAGAGAACTTAGAGTATCTGGTCAAAATAGAATTCCTTAATATCCTGAAATGACAGCCATTCATTAGTCAGGGTGATTTTAACACTTTTAGACCAGACCTGATCATAATGATATGTAACAATGCTTTTCATCAATCTGAACTTAACAGAGACAGTTGAGTACACAATAGATTACTTTGGCAGAACATGAATTCTAGGTCTCTTGTTGTCGAATAAACCAGAAATAAAAAAAAAAAACCTTGAGCATAAGAGTTAGCACACAAAGTCATCACATAACTCAGAATTATTTAACAGAGTCAAAAAGAGCTTACACGACCTAACTTTAGAAATGGCAGAGCAACCGATTAAGCAGACATTGTTAAAAAGAGACGTTACAGTTTTTGCAAAAACAGATTTAAGATTTACGATTGAGACCATTTCCAGATATTTACCAACATTAG